ATTTTAGGGAAGGGTCTACAGGGTGTTCAGGGTCTCACTACTAGATGGGACTCATAGTGATCCACCTGTTTACAGCCTCCCAAGAGCTGGGATTACAGGCACGTGCCACCACGCCCAATCTCAATTGGGTGTCCCAGCGCGCCCCTGGAGGCAGGGCCAGCACTGCAGCCTGGAGATCAAACCCGTGGCCCCAGCACCTGCTTGCAGAATACTCCCATTTTACAGCAGTGGAAACTGAGGCCCACAGAAGCTATGTAATTTGCTCAGTGTCTCATTAGAGACCCTACAACCAGAGTTGGCCTCAGGATGGACTCCCAAGCAGGTGCTTGGTTCATGCTGCTGGAGGATAAACACACTGGAAATTGGAGTGTGAAAAACCTTAACATTAATTTAGGAACAGAATGAGTCCCTAGACCTCATCATCAGAGAAATTTTAGAGTTCTACGTAAATTCCAATATTGCACCGAGTTTAAGGCCTGCCTGAGCTATATTACATAGTGAGCTCACGACCAGCCTAACCTACATAGTGAAACTCTCAAATTAATAAACACAGTATGTCCCAATATTCATTGAACAGCTACTCAAGGAGAAAACGGAGATTTTCCTGGAGGGCGGGGGCGCAAGAACAGCTGATTTTGCGGCCACTTTAAAAGAAAAGCTAAGCACAGGCCGACTGGGATTTTACCTCCTATTGATCGCAGTTAGCAAGGAAGCAGGCGCTGGATAGCTGGCTGCCCCCACCAAGCGGGGTGAGGCTGGAGGGCGGCTGGGCGCTGGCCAGGAAACTGGAGGTACGCCCAACAAAGGGCGCCGGTCGCGGTGCGGCCGTGGGGGCGGGGGCGGGTTCCCAGTATCTTACAAGCTAGGGGCAGCGGGAAAGGAGACCCACGGACATCGCCGTCCCAGTACGCCGATCCAGCCTGCTGGCCGCAGAACCCTTCCACTTGCACCAGCGTGAGTCTTATCTGCGCTCTTAGGCCGCAAAAGAACTGCCCTCTGATTGGGTCAGAGGTTTCCCTGGGCTTCTCTGATTGGTCGGCGGGACTCACGCCCTCTCCCTGGGTCATACCATAAGGAGAGGAGGAGAAAACATATCTATTTCAAGATTTTTCTCGAAGACTTCTTTGTCCAGGTTGAACAACAGCCTCTTTATAACTAACACAGAGATTATTACATAAAGGACATAGGTCCATAAAGAGGAGTCCAGAGGTGGGAGGCCGGCCGGAGCTACGCGGCATCCCCTCCCTCAGAGGTGGTACGTTCCAATTGAGGTCGCGCTTTCTGGCCCCGGCCGGCTGTAGCTTCAGCTTCAGCTAACCGCACAGTTGCAGGATTCGAGATGCTGCTGCAGCCGAGTTTGCTCCGCCGCGTCCTACTGGTCCGCCCATGGAACGGGGTCAGGTAAGTGAACGCCTTATCTAGGTCCACATGGGTACGATACCTGCTGCCCGGGATACTGAGAGTCGCTGGGCGTTCCCCGAGCCGGAGTACTACCTGCGGCTGATCAGTCCCCGTCCGTGTTCTCAGGAGCTTCCCTCTTGCCCGAGGTCTCCTGCCTTTTGCCTCCCCCGAGGCCTCCCGCTCACTGAGACCCCTGGGTCCCCTGACCTTTGCTTTCAGATAACCACCTTTCTTTAGCCGGGGCGGGGGTGGGGTGGGGGGGGAATCCTCTTTGTGTAGCCGGGTGGAGTCCTCGGGACCGTATCTCGCTCCGGAAAGTGCTTCTTTCTTCATTTTTCTCCTTAGTACTGGGTAAAGTATTCGAAATTTGCTGGTTTCCCGGGAGCAGCATGTCTATTTTTAGTACATCATGCCTCTGACTTCGTTACCCGGTCTGATCTTGTAGACCTCCTCCTGAGATTCCCTGAGTCGCCTCTCCTCCTCCTCCGCGGCTTTCCAACCTTGTACCCTCCGCCCCCCTTTTCCAATTAAATGTTAGGTCAACAAGAGGGGCTCGTTTCTGGTATGTGGAACGGTAATTCCATTAATTACTCTGACGGCACATTAATTGCATTTAATGTGCCAAACGCTGCACTAGGCACTTGGCTTGTGTCACTGTGGAGATTGAATGAGTTAATGCCCATAAAGTGTCCTGAGTGGTGCCGGCTCCTTAGGCAGTGCCTGATTATTATTGGCGGGACTCTCAGAATCCTTTTTATTTTCACTTCTCATTCCTGCGAAGCGACATATTATTATTCCAAAGAATGGAGAAACGGGAGGTGCAGTTCCAGGGTAGAGCTGCCCTTCATGTCCAAATTTGCCAGCTTCACAGTGGGCTTGGGTTCCTCGATCCCAGTGCCCTTCATGTACCTATGCAAAGTGCAGGGAGGAACATAGGACAGAGACTGCCTCCAGGGGCTGGCAGGTTGGAGGAGCTCTGCACGTGCATCCACCTCCCTCTTAGAGCTGGACAGCACCCTCTAGCTCCCCATTTGAGTTTTGTTTGTTGGTGCCTGGGGCTGTGTCTATGGACTGCTTTGCTGAGTTAATCAGTACCCCTCTCCCTGCCCCCATGGGCTAGCATGGGTGAATTTCAGCTCTGTGAGGCTGATCAAAATACTTGGTGGGGGCCCGGGAAGATGGCTCTGTAGAATAAGCACTTTCCTGGCAGGCGCAAGGGCCTGAGTTTAATGTCCGGTCTGCCAAACAAACAACAACAAAAACAAAAAACACATGGTGAAAGGGGTTTTTTTTTTTCCTTTTTTTTTTTTTTTTCCTGTATCAGGAATTGAACTCAGGACCTTGCACTTGCCAGGCAAGCACTTTTTCCACTGAGCTATATTCCTGGCTCACATGGTGAAAGTTTAAGAACTCATTATTGTAAAAGATTCGTTTCTGTTTTTTATTGTTGTCTTTTTCAGAAAGATCTTGCTATGCAATTCAGGCTGGCCTTGAGCTCACTTTGTAGCCCAACTTGCAATGATCCTCCTGCCTTAGCCTCCTGATCCTCCTGTCTCAGCCCCCTGATCGTCCTGATTCAGCCTCCCAAGTGCTGGAATTACAGGCTTGTACCACCACAACTGGTTTCCGGGAGGTGGATGTGATGGCACATGCCTGTAGTCCTAGCACTTGAGAGGCTGAGGTAGGAAGATCACCATGAGCTAGCATGGATGACGTAGTGAGTTCAAAGCCACCCTGAACTGCCTGGTGTGACCCTGTCTCAAAGAGAAAGAAAAGAAAAAAAAAAAAAAAGAGAGAGAAAAATGGGATAAAACCTCTCTTATATGGGGTAGAAAGCCATCCGTGCTCTGAAAGGAAACCCCATAGTAACTATTTACCAAGTAATCAGGTACCACGGGTACAGTACTGCTGACTGTACTGTATTGTTCCCATTTTATAGATGAGGCTCTAGCTTCAAGTTTAGGCAGATGTAGGGCTAAAGTTATAGTTGGTCTCACTCCAGATTCGTGCTCCTAATTACGAGGCTTCTTGTGTTGAGGGGTGGTAGGGAAAGTCCTGGTTTAGGTTACTTCTTCTGGCAGTTTGCCTAGAGCGAGTTTCTTAACTTTGACATCATCCGACGTTGGGGACTGATAAACCTTTGTTGTGAGGATTTCTCTGCGCACTGTAGGAAGTTCAGCAGTCCTCCTGGCCTCTGCCCAGTGAATTCCAGTAGCGACCCAGTCTGACCCTAAGAAAACCTCTCCAGACGTTGCTCTTGGCAACATGGGGGTAACATTGTTGCAGTTGAGCCCTAGGGCCCTAGGATAACTTTGGTGTTTAATCTCAGATTCATTCCACCATGTAATGGTTGATACCGATGTGTTGCATCAACTTGAGAAATTTAGAAGTTTAATTAAGGGACTCAGCAGGGGGTCAAGGTCCTCACTTTGTAAACATCCTGAGCCTGTGCAGGAGGAGGGCACAGAGGTGGTGTGAACCGCATACCTTAGGGAGGCTGGCCTGCTTACTGTATCAGGGAGGAAAAGAGGCTCCGCTCTCCTCATTTTTCTCTCTCTGCTTTTGCTATCTTCTGCCACCTTGAATTGTTGCCCCTCACCATTCTGCCCTGTTATGGAATGAGCTGCTAATGGACTAAAACCTCCACAAACTGGGCCAAACCTTTCCTTCCTTGATTTGAGGTGTCAGATAATTTGTCTCAGTACCCGGAGAAAAGTAACTAGGACAAGATGCCTTTAGAACACACCTATTGTGTGCTATGTCTAATTTATGGAGAAACAGTTTTAGATGGAGGTGGGTTTTTGGGGGTGAACCGGGGAGTGAACTCATGCCCTTGTGCTTGCCAGGCAAGCGCTTAGAGAAACAGTTTTAGGACTGTTTGGTGAAAGCTGTAAAACTCAATGCCAAGAAAAAATGATCTTTTGGGCTGGCCAGATAGCTCAGCCAATTAAAGTACCTGCTTAGACAAAGGGGTTGGGGCTTTGATCCCTGGCCTGCTCCCAGGGGTGTGCTCAGCCAAGACTGAGTGGACTGGGTGGGTGTGGCCTGTAATCCCAGTGTTTGGGAGGCTGAAAGACAGGAAGGATCCCGACAAATCCAATCTATGTAGTGAGACCCTGTAGACCCTGTACTAATACATTAAAAAAAAAAACAAAAACAAAAAACAAAAACTCTTCTTTTGATGAATCGGCAGTTTCCCCTTTTTGCCTTGAGGGCCAGGAATCTCACCAGTTTTTGTTTTTAATAAAAACTCTTGGTTGCAGTGTTTTCTTTTTATGTAATTAATACAAGTGTTGTGGAAAGTACAGATAGAACAAAAAAGAATCCAAAAATAACTGGTAAACTCACCTCAAAGGAGCAGCCATAGTTACTGTTGGCTGAATAATCTCTCCATTTACCGCGAATATGCGTACTGGAAGAACAACGCACGACCAAAACCTCATCAGTGTGTTCAGGTTGACCATCCAAAATCTGAGGATCTGAAATGCTCCAACATCTGATGCTTTCGGGGCACCAAGGTGAGGATGCCCCAAGAGGAAAGCTGTACATTTGACCTCATATAATGGATCTCCATCAAAATGCACCCACACTATAAATATTATATAAAATTACCGTCAGGCTGTGTGCATATGCCGTTTATGACACATAAATGAATTTCTTTGGTTCTTTTTTTATTTTTTATTTTTGGCGGAACCGGGGATTGAACTCAGATCCTTGAGTTTGCCAGTCAGGCGTTTATCCTACTGAGCCATCTCCCCGGCCCCTCTTTGGTTCTTTTTTAAAAAAATGTATTTGGTTGTTGCAGGGTCCCACTACGCAGCTTGAACTCATGGTGATCCTCCTGCTTTCAGCCTACCCAGTTCTGGGATTACAGGCATGGGTCACTATATCCCTGGGGCCTGGGCTCATTGCGCCCTGGGGGCAGGGCTGGCTGGCTCAGCATGTGGTCCTGGGGATCTAACTGTGGTGCCTGCTCTTGCCTAAGCAGTTATTGTAGTTGACTGAGCAATCTTGCCGGCCTATGAATTTCATATTTAGGGTCCACCTGCATCCCCAAGATACCACATTATATATTTTGGCTTTGAGAAAGGTCTCAGTGCTGACTTTGAACTCCTTTGGTAGCCCGTAGTGAGTTCAAGGCCTGCCAGCCATCCTCCTGCCTCATGTAAATGTAAGTAATCCGATATCCAGAAAGATCTGGATCTGAAGGAGTCCTGGTCCCAAGCTTTTCAGATAAGGGATCCTTAACTTGTCAGTCTTGTTTTTGTTTTTGTTTTTTTCTTGCCCTTACTATAAGTTCCCAGGTACCTGGTGAGCCCCTGGCAAAGACTGGGGTCAGTAGATATTTGTCACTGTCTTGAGCCAACCACTACCAACACGAGACCTTTGAAGATGGGCCCAGAATGATGACCCAGGAATGTTAGGACTTCCAAATACTGTAAGGGAAATGCTGTAGCTCCCAACCTGCTAAATGTCTGACACGCTGAGTTCGTGTCCCCAAAATCAAAGAATGAATTTTAAGGAACAATGGAAGTTATGAGTAGGAAATATTTATTGAGGGAAAGAAAGCTTCTGCCAAAGAGACAGAAGGGGACCTGGAAAGCAGATTGCCTGTGAGCCCACTTCTTAAAGTTTTATAGAGCAGAATCCTAAGGTGGGTATGAAATCAAAAGGTGGGCATAAAGGGGGCAAATTAGGATCAACCAATGAGATTACAGGCATAGCCGCTAGGTAATAATGGTCCAGCGGGGAAGCAAGTCGTGTAGCAAGTATGAGTGAAGGAATGGAGCTTTTCTGGGAGGGGTGGGCCAAGGATGTCTGGGTACCTCACCCTGGTGACTGATGCCTCTTTAGTTATATATGTCAGTCATTATTGTTTGTCCTTGGGCAAGTAGGTATAGTCATTCCATCTTTGTCCTGAGGCCTGGCCTTCAGTGAATGTGCCTCCAGCCACAGCTGTGGTGGATTCTCATCCCTGCATTGGCTCCTTCCAGGGCCCA